TCCTCATCCGCAGGGTCGGCCTTTCATGCCCTCTTACAACCTGGTCATGGCTGGAGTGTAAAAGAACTCAAACTCCAGCCAGGTTTCCCCAGGTGGATTCCCCACTGGCCAAGCCTCCAAAACCAAGGGTGAGGGAAGCTCCCATCACCTTCTTACCTTCCAGCGTTCCCCGACCTGCCAACCCTGAGCCTGTTGTGAAAGAGAAAAAGATTTCCAAACACCAGCTCCGCAGAGTGAGGAAACGGATCGCCAAACTGGGGGCAAGAATAGCTGAGAAGGAAGAGGAGATCAAGCGGCTAAAGGAGGAAGCAACCACCAGCACCAAGAATAAAAAATAAATGTAAATAAATGAAAAAAAAAAAAAAAAACAACAAATCAGACACCATTAGTCACATTAGAATGGCTCGTCCTATTCACCATTCTTGAGCGAAGGCGCTTTTCTCACATATATGCAAATGTGTTACGGCAACTCTGCGAAAACATTACCATATAAGGAGCGTGACGTCACGACCGTGGGAAATTTATTGTTTACAATAGAAAATCGACAATTATAAAGTTTTTCGAATGAACAAAAGTATTTTTTAGTCAATTTTGATGCGCTGATCCTGAATTTCATGTTGTTATAACTCTCAAGTCGGTATTTATTAGTCAAATTTAATTTACAAGTAGATAGTGTTAGTTATTTTGCAATAAATAATTATATTCTTAATTCGAATATGCGATTACGTCAGCGACGTATTGAAACAGAGAAGCAAGAATTTGACACTTTGATAACTAATTATTCACTAAGTTATCAATAACTTGCCGTTCGAATCACCTCGGTTCGAACGGCCGGAGTTTCCATAGGGGACCCTTTAACGGTTTATCTGCCACTATCCGCGCCCCCGAGGGCGTGTGCGAACCATTCGCCACCACCTCGGCCGGTCTAGGGTCTTGGGCTTTACTATCGTTATTACCCTTTCTCTCCGCGTTCGCTCTACCGCCATGATCGTCATCGGCGTCACCAGGGGAGTTCTCGCTCTCGTCGCTCAACACGCTCGCCACTAGCGGTGCGGACTGCGTTGACGAAGGCTACGAGATTTTATTATCGAGGTTTGGGTTGGGGGACGAAGGAGTGGGGTCAACCCCACCTAACCACTCCTTTCCCCGTTTCCCTTATTACATTGGGGACAGTATTTCCTGCTGTACCCCAGTAGACCACACTCGACGCATTTGATTGGCCTGGAGAAATCCCTTTCTCGTCTGCGAGGGGTATCCGGCTTCTTATCTCGGTCCTCGGAGGTCAGGTTTTTGTCGGCGTGATTCTTCTTTATCCCCTCCGATATCACCCTGAGAGACAGCAGCACATTTGGTTCAATATGTCGGTGGGTAGGACTTTCTTCTCGCCATCGACCGACTCCAGGCTCGGATTAGGTGTCGCCCCCGAGGGCGTCGGCGTGTAGACGACCTGGTGCGTCACCTTCTCGAGTACGTTCTCCATGCGGTCCAACCTGTCGCTAACCTCCGGTTTGTCGCCGGACATGGCTGCCACCTTGCCCTTACGGCCCTTGCTCGCGTCGGCGCGGGGTTGGTACGCTAACTCCGGGTACAGAGTTGACTGAGGGTCTGGTACTGCCCGTTCTATCCTTCGCTGATGTAAGCTATTCTGGGCCGCCGTGGCCAAGGCGTTCAGGGTCCGTATGGAGTCTACTTCTAACCTCCGTATTTGGCCCTGAATGTCCGGGAGAAGGTTGGCATGCAGCAGGTCCAGTTGATTATCGTGCGTCATCTTGGGGTTCAGCCGATTCATCAGGCCCATCATGTTGGCGACATAAACATTCACGGGTTCGTCGGGGCCCTGATATCCGCTCGGAATTTCCCTCATCAGACGCTGTTGCTGCTGCACGCTGGTCCCAAACCACTCTCTTGCGTCCATCTCGAACTCAGCATAGGAGAGCCATTTCCCCTTCATCGCCTCGTACCAGGTGAGGGCGGGACCGACGAGCAGCTCCGATACCGTTAGGAGCATCTCGTCTCCTGCGTCATTCGTCAAGTTGTCCAGCCTAGACAGAAAGGTGTCAATACTCGCATAGCCCTCTCCTGAAAACTTCAGTTTCCAACCTCGGACAATGTGACCAACATCCCTTGTAGTCGACCAAAGGTTTGTTGTCTGCTGAGATGACCACGTGTTCGGCGGGTGGTTATTCACTTCAGCATTAACTCCACTGAGTTGATGCTGTCCACCCTCTCCGAAAGGGAGCGTCCGGCGGGGCGTCCTGCCGGTGGCCCCCGTGGGCCTCTGTCCGGGTCCAGCTGGAGTGCTCTGGGGTAACCTGGTGTCGTAATGGCATGTGAAGGTGGAATGCTACGCTCCTACGCGTGTTCTCCTGTTGCCGCCCTTCGTTGGAACTATTCGCATCGTCTTGCCGTATATTTCTGTTTTCTGCGTTTTCTAATGCGCTGATCCTGGCGGATTGATTGTCCATTTGGTCCTTCACATTGCTGCTGTTGCTGAGGATTTGGTCTAATACTTTTGTTAGACTCGACATATTCGAATTCAGTGAGTCTAGCAGCTCCAGTTTCTTCTCATTTTCTCTGGACCGGAAAATGAGGTCTTGGAACATCACCGTGAATGCCGGCGGGAGTTGGAACTGGCTGCCATCATAGGTCGTTATAGTAATACAATTATTACTTTTTGTGTTCTCTCCGCTGTCCAGGACATTCGTGATGTTTATCGCGGTTTTCTGTACTCGCGATATTAACTCCGCACTCTGCATCAACTGGGCTAGCGGGTGTTCTCCCTCTTGCTCGGATGCTGTGTGTTCCGCGCATAGGGATACAATCAGTTCCGAGCGTAGGGCAGCTCTTTTTGCTGGATTGCTGTGCTGGTTGTCGACTTCCGCGAAATCTGCTGCGGAGTAGTCGCCAAGCAACCAGTTATGCAGGCGGCCAGCTCTCGAGAGCTTGGTCCCGCTTGTTTTGAGCTCCAGGTGTTCGAGGTAGTCATCGATTTCTTCCTCCTGGAGCGTCATATTTCTATATCTGTCTCAGTGCGGTCCATATTCCTCTGTTAGTTGTCTTGCGGCTTGTTTCACGCGAAATTTAGACGCATGTTACGCGTGGTGCGAGTGCGAGTGCTGTTTTTTTTAAAAAAAAAATGTACGCAATTGAAGAAATTTTATCGGCCGACAATAGGCTCAATCAAGGGCGTTCAACAACGTATTTGCCGAAAGACTCTTGGCTCGTTATTACGCAATATAATGATCCTGCCTATCAGACGCACTAACTGTTTGTTAGCGCGGCTGTTTTGGTTAGTATCTAAAATATTTTAACGAGCGTTGTGCGTAGTCACCAATAACCGCAGCTAATAATATTAAAAAACGTTTACTTTAAGACAACACGATATCAACTAAAATTATCAAATTGAATTAATTTCGGTTGAAAGTTGCCGGTGTTAGTTTCCCCGGGCCAGCGGGTACAATATTATTGATTTGCGGCAACTTTCAAAGTTTATTGGTGTTTACGCTTCTAAGAGTCTTTCGGTCGCACTCGCACGCGCTTACAGTTATTATTTACAATTTTACGCCACGGCGGGACTTCGCAAGCTAACTAACAGGTTATGTTTACTGTTGTGGCCTTCGATATCAAGTGTGCACAACAACACTTGATTGCTACCTAAGTCGCTGGTTGACTGAGCGCAAGGTCACTATTGAGAACCGGTGTTTTGAACAATCAGAAACACTGTAGGTTCTTTTGCGTTGGGCGCTATGTAACGGGGTTGCTTACCGTTTAATTATTTTTATTAAGACGATCGCGTAAACGTACTCGTAATCACCTATGTCAAATAAGAAAGTCGGAGAGCAAGAGGAAACGGGTGTCAGTCAACCAACTACGGGAGTGAAGAGAACGCTCTGAAAGTACTTGTTAATATCGTGTACGAAAACTCTTTATTATCTCTTAAAACGCTACATTAGATCGGCCCGCGTGTTTATGTTTACATCGGCGCTCGCTCGACAACAACATGCAGTGTCGGTACGCTTGCTGCTCTTTGTTCGTAGAGCTATTACATGCACGCTTCGAACGCGGAAAATTAATTATTACGCATATAATCGCGATCGCGAGAGTAAGCTGGCCAGCTTACCTTTATTCGGCAGACGCACGAAGATGACGGCAACAAGTCGCACTGCGGGAAAGCGGTCTATTTTGTTCGTGTCGCGGGTCGCGAACTCGCGCGCACGTGGTTTCGCCCTCGATGGCGAAACCTCACACACACTTTCAAAGTCACAGGACGCAGCGCTTTTCTGCTGGCTCCGGTCTACACTCCTGGTATCTCGGCACCTCGACAACAGCAATCTCTCAAAATCGGCTCTGGTGCGGATTTCACTCCTGGCGGTTCGTGTAGCGGTAGCTAGTTTCGTATTCACGGGCGAGCGTGTTGATGGTCAAACCCTCACTGGTTCATTTTCAATCGCGCGCGTTGCGTCTGCTCGCGTGCCGAATTCCTTCGTTACATTTTGCGTCTCCCCGGTAGGTGCTGCCCCCGCAGGCAGCCATTAGGTTAGATTATTAGCACTAATTTGACGTTTACCGTCACAGTGCATTATATGTAATATAATTTCTTTCTTTTTTTCATTCCTTTCCGATCTTTTTACCTGTCGCATTAGAGAAAGCTAGACACTGACACGGATCGGCTTAGCGTTATCCAAATTTTGTACTTTGCGACAAAATTAAAAATTTCAACTGAATTTTTTTACTCCCGATTCTATTTTTTTACTATTGAGTTATATCAAGTGAAAAGAAAAATAATCCTACTATTTTCAGATTGAATGCCACTGTAGATTAAATGATGAAAAAGATCAAAAAAAAACCTTGAAAAAACAAATTATCATATGCTTTAGCTTTTAATAACTAATTTTGATGCCAATTTGTTTTTACGAAATTATAATACTTTTTATAATAATTTATATACTCTAATTGATACTTGTATAGTTCAAATTATTAAATTAATATTTAATTTCCAGCAACACTTGGTAGATTTTTGTTTTACATCTTCTCGTCTGTGGGCCTTATGGCGAATGACAGATACGGATAATGTGGCTATAACTCATGTATCTTTACCTTTAAATAACACCAATTTAACGTGCCAATGGGAGGCAGTAATATTGGCAGAAGCTCCTGACAAAGATTATATTATAAGCGATCCTGGGACTGATCCAAGACAAGCTTATCTTGATTTTATATTTCATCCTGGACAATTCGCCTTAGTAGATATCATTAAAGCATTGAATATATATCGGAGGTCTAATTTAACACTCGACGTACGTTTATCTCCATCTATATTAAAGGAAAGAGTTTGTATGGCAGTTGAAGCTGAAATACAAGCAGAAGTAGTAGATTATGAATTGTTAGATGATGATTACTTAGAAATAGTAAACCGTTGTTGGTCAAGATTTTATTCTTGTGTTCTTCAGTACCACATGAATAGATACAAACCAGTAGGTTTTTTACTTTTGCCTGATGTTAAAGGGGCCGTACTTTTGAAAAAATGTAATTTTTCATTCCTAAGGCCTATGGAAGCTATAGAATATCTAATGCTGTACAACAAAAAATCATGTGAACTTCTTTTAAAAGAGTTACATATCTTACAAGATAAAGATAAATGCCAAGATTTAATCAAGTTAATGCTGGCATTAGTGTTTTTAGAGGATCATTTATCAGACGAATTTAAATCAACATTTGATAAAGAATTATATCGATTAAAAGATCCTGATACTGCTATTGAAAATTTATTATCGAATACGATTTTTAACAAACATGAAACAGTGAGTAAATTATTTAAATAAAATATCTTATTATTTTAATGAAATAATTAGTGAATCATAATATTTTCTTATATTATAATTACAACTAAAATTTTCTTTTTGCTCTAGTGATCAATAATTTAAATGTAATTACGAGATAGCTCGAGATATTCGAGGACCATTTCGTTTATAATCCAGTAGGCCTATTAATTTATAGGGGGGAAGTGTACACTATATTCTTGTAAATTGTCCTATATTTCAAATATAATCTTATTGTCTATATATATTACATATTGTTCATATCTTAAATATATTTACTCCTGTGAGACTTACATGGGCCGACCATTTTTAAACCCAAAGACCCGACCTAGTGTATCCGAAGGAATTTGATTCGATAAATTAAAATATCGGCTCATAATTGCTCCATCACCCTATGTTTGAAAGATATTGTAACATAAATGTACGAACAATACAGTTTTCTGCTATTTTGAAGCTTTTCTCACATTGCAAATTTTTATATTTCATAGCAAATCCGAACAAAGGATTGGTAAAGGAAACTTTCCACTTTAAAAAATAATATTAATTTTTTTTAATTGCATTTTTACAAGCCTTAGAATCTAACACTTTATTGTTACTGCAATAACACTAACAAGCCCTATTTAATTTTTTAAATTTGGAGTTATCTTATTTTTCCTAATTCTTTTATTATTCAATATAAATCGAATATATATAAATCCAATTTCTCACTCTACAAAATGCAGAAATTTTATTTAAAAACTAACCTGATTCAAATATTTAAGCCCAGATTAATTTATTTTTCACACACAAATATCACACACAAATAATCAGATTCTTTTGAAAACCAAACTACCGGCAAGTACAAATTATTATAAGCTTATCTAGTACACTGGTATGGGCAGCATACAATTTTTTTACATGTTTAATTTCCACCAGATTCTGCTCCACTGTCATTTCCCTTTTCGTTGATGTATTAATTTTCTGGTTTTCATGCAGCAATAAATAAATTAATAATAAACAATGTTAAGTATCCACTCTCATCAGTCTAACCATAACGTGCAGTGTATACATTGTAATGGGGAGATAAATCTGAAAATGGGAAATTTATTGACGGTGTACTCTCCTAGCAACCATCTCCCAAGCCTAGCCGCCTGCTGGATGACACTTCCATCCTTGCGCAGCTCTAAATCCGCCAAGTAGCGTTCGCGCTGTGCGGAGGTCAGCTCTAATGCCCAATTATCGATCTGAGCTGACAACAGAGCCATCTTGCCTCCGCACGAGTGTAGGATGCGGTCGAGGTTTGAAATTATCGGCCTAATCGACCACTACCGCTTCCTATCACCCAAGGTATGAGCGGGGTACACACTATTTAGTGTACCTACCCTTAATGCCTCCTTTTTATAAGGCACAAACTCGCGAGATTATGAGCGCGTGCAGTCTCCGCAAACTATCTATAAATATTATAAAAATATCCTACCTAAGGTCGGAGCCTGCTGTTTGCTTGCTCCGCCTGGCTAATATTTTCTGGACTGCACGCTTAGGTCGCACTCTCTGCCTTTATCGTCGATCAGGTGCTTCCTACCCCCCTTTATCCATCAAACTATGTCTGAAATGGGTTAACACCTGATTACTCCGAACGACCCGAAATCACTTCGACCCACTAACAATTATCACTTTCGGCCCTTTTTACAATCAACTTAACAATTTTAATCAAAAGGTTCGAAGTGGTTTCGTTTTTTCCCCGGCAGAGGGCGTACCGCTCACGATCTCGCGCTACCACCCGCTCAAACCTTCCTAAGCGCTCGCGCAATCGTCTCTCTCTCTCGAGCGTCGATTACCTTCGACGCACAATCCTATTCGCACGAAACGGGTCTTAATACTAGTTGGGCGCCATGTAACGGGGAAGATAAATCTGAAAATGGGAAATTTATTTAAGAACAAACTTCCACGATGCAGAGCAAACCACCGCTCCGTTAAACACGTATGATAATACGTGTATTCGCCTTAACGTCAGATGATTTATCCTAGTTGTCTTCAATTGATCGGAGTTGAACTCAGCTTAAGTCACGTATCTTGTTACACATGATGAGCTTCAAGTGTGAGCGACTTTACTCCTAATCTTCTTAATCCCCTAGACGTAATTGGATTAAAACCTAAGCCTGTTTCAAATACTTAAGCTACCAGGAAAATCAAATGATGAAAACGGCGAATAAATTTAACAGACTTTAATTAAAAAAAAAATCACTACAGTCTTTGTTGGGCCGAAAGACTGACGCTCGCGAATAGGATTTTACAATTAGCTATTTTCCGTGAGAAAGAGAGAGAGAGAGAGTAGATTTGAATTCTACCGCGAACTAACGCACGGCGCGATTACAAAAAATAACGCTATCACGAATAAACAAAATATCGAATATATTTTGTATCACTTAATATGACGGAAGCTCCACCTACCATGCGGTGCAATTACGGTGATCAGCCGTAATTGTTGTTGTAAAAAATCTCAACTGCCGCTGCCCCTTAATTATCAGCTGCGCTGCCTCGATCTGCCTCAAATTAGCTATAAAGCTGCTGCTTCTCCACTGCTACTGGTTATCTTGAAAATACCGTTGCACTCACACACGAGATTGTCCCAAAAAAACTAATTATTCGGCGAATACAAAGTGCAAAACAAATCAGCGGTAAATTCACGTTCACAGCTGAGGCGTAACTGCTTATTCAAAAGATCGCGCGCCCCCTCTCTCTCTAACTAACGCGTGAGAAGCAGAATCACGAGCGGTTCGATTAATTAAATCGACTACCGTTGCAACATATGCATGTAATGAAATGTCGAGATTAAAATAAACAATAGTGTCAGCTGGTATTCTCACTTTAAAGATTCAAATTCAGAATTCAGACTTGGTTCTCATTTTTTATAACGGAATTTTCAACATTTTTCACTCGAACCCTGTAAATCGGGTTTGAATAAAATTGCTAGTCGTGCTGACGTACATTAAAATTGTTCATCGTTTAATTACCGTTCTGAAAATATTATGATTTTATTTACTAATTCTTAAAAAAATATAAATAAACACAATTTTAATAGATATTCCTAATACAAATAACAATTCTAAAATTGAAGAGGAGTTTAAGCAAGATAGCATCGAAGTTATTTTTTTTTTTTTTTTTTTTTTTTTTTTATTTAACGTCGCTCTATTTATGCTCCATTAGTGCTAATCAGCGACGGAGGCTTGCAATGTGTTTGAGAACAAAGCACATGAAACTTTTTTCAGTGGTGCTTGTATCAATCAGCAGGGACTGGGAATCGAACCCAGGCCTATCGGGTGCGAGTCCGTCGCCCTACCGACCGAGCCATTGCAGGCCTCGATCGAAGTTATTTATGAGTATGAGAATATTAGAAAACAAGAATGTGATATATTTACAAATAAAAAAGTTACAAAAAGCTGCTGCGTTGGGTAAAAATTTAGTTGATGTGATTATAAGTTATATTACTGGTTTGTTCTGCGTAGAAGAGGAAGAATTGCTTGAAAATATTGAAATTGTACAAACCATTACTAAACTAAACATAATTCCTATCAATGTCAGGTAGAATAAGCTTTTTTTCATAATGTATATTAGATAAAACATAAAACGTGCGAGAGAGTACAGCCACCGTGCGCCTTGGGCTGAGCTCTGCTAAATTTTAACGGGTTCAATCGTGGTAAAGAAAGCCGGCGCTGACTTTCTCGGGCTGATGTTCGCTCTGGTTAGGTGAGGATTCCAATAAATAAACTCGTCAATGAAAATTTAATACACTTGGCGATCTCATTTATTAATGCCTTTACAAATGTATGCTACAAAGTTTTCTACGCCGTGGCGAGCGCGCTCGCTCAACCTTTTCCGCGACCAGAGTTCGCGGGATCACGCGAGCGAAATCGCTCAGCGTGCGCGATGAAGTTCGCTTAAAATTCCGTAACCGAGCGAGAGCTGGCGCGAGAGAAACAATATTAGGTTTAGACCCACCGGACACCGACGGTCCATCGGTGGAGAGACGACGCCATTGAAAACGTAGTCGTAGTGAAAACGTAGACATTTTATTACAAAAACAATATTCTCTGATCTGATTTGTACTGAATGATATTTAGGGTTTATTTTGTGTATCGTCTAATCATGCAGTATTGTACTGATTTTTTAGCACCTCGTGTAATCATTTTTGTGAGTTGTAGCCATAATTAATAAATTAATTTAATAAAAACAAAATCTTGAACCTGGAAAATATTTAAAAAGCAATGAGTAAAAAATTACCAGTGATAACGACAGGACTTTAGATATGAACTCTCCAAGGAGCTTAGCAGTTAAAGCAATTCGGCTATAAATGTCTTAAATAGATCGGCTGAAGAAAAAATTTTGAATAAGTCAGAGAGAGGCAACAAGATATTTCAAGATAACTGAACTCTTGAATAACTTTTAAGAGCAGCAGAAGATTGTCGCCAAATACGTAAAAAACTTATTTAGATTACGTGATCAATACAAATCAAATGCTATAAAAATACAACCGATGAGCTCCGCTGGATAATTACGTCAAAAATATCCCCGACGATACCGGAATTCGGATTGGATCAACTTTTTCGTCTTCAAAAGTTATGACCATACCTAAATTTTCAGACCCCTAGAGCACCATGGGGTAAGATGAGACGCTATAGTGGCGGTTTGGGTATTTTTGAGATATCTTGGTCAATTTTTGAGCTAGAAAAAAAAATAAAAAAGTAATTTATACGGTTTCATAAGTCCTGCAAATTTAATGAGCCCAAAAACATTTAGCACGAAATTCAAATTTTAACAACCGTTCGAAAACTTTAAATTGTCGCCATTTCTTCGGATTATGACCTACAACAGAAAAAATTTTTTGCACATTCCTTGTACATTAAATATGTGTAATTTTTTTCATATTTTTGGAAGTGGTAGAACAACCTTAAAAATGTGGTTTTCATTTTTAGCGTATTATTGGTACATTCTAATTGTAACGGGGAA